TGTGTTGTAGTAGAGTAGGGAACAGGAATAACACAAGTATGTCATTTAAAAATAAGAAAATAAAATAGATTTTGTATAGCATGTTAGCCTGATTTCTACCACTATGACAATGTATCTGAGAAAAATTAAGTAAAGAAGGAAAGATTTGTTTTGGCTCATGGTTTCAGAAGTTGCAGTTCATGGTCTCTTGACTCTGTTTCTTCTGGGCTTACAGTGAGACAAAATAACATGGTGGGGAGCATGTTGTGGAGTAAAGTGGATCATCTCATCAAGGACAGGAGGCAGAAAGAGAGCCCAGGAGAAAGGGCTAGGGACAAGATATAGACCCCAGGGACACATCCCTCAGTAACCTGCTGCCTTCAACTAGGTCTCATCTCCTAAGTTTCTATCACATTCCAATGATGCCATCAAATTATGAATCTATCAGCAGATCAATCCATTGATGAGGTCTGAGCCCTTGTGATCCAATCATTTCCCAAAATCTCATCAACTGGCAACTAACTCTTTAGCACATGACCTTTAGGGGACATTTTAGATTCAAACCAGAACACATAGACAGCTGAAAAACAAACAAACAAACAAATGTAAACATTTCCCAGTTGTTCATAACCCAAAGATAACTTGGAATTTATGAAGACACACAAAGACATGCACACTCACACTCATGACAACAGTTTCCCTTACAGGTCATTTTGATGACAAATACCATACTTAAACTTCACCATTTTCCAAATTTGCCTTAACAACCAAGAAGCTAAAAGTCAAATTTGGATCAAATCATGGCAATTATTTTAACTGGTCTGGCAAGCAGACCTTATGTCTACTTTTTGCCTTGAAAGAGATTCTTTAATCATCATCAATATATCTTTAGATACAAGGCACAGCAGCTTCATTATAAAAATAAGTTACAAACATACAAGTTAATTCCATGTCTACTGCAATATAGTTAATCTGATCATATTAGTATCCTCATTCAGTAAATAAAAAACTGATCAAAATTTCCAATGCTAGGAACTTTGACATGCTTTCTTCATTGGTCAGCTTTTCTTTTGCTGGGACAAAATATCTGACCTACACAATTTAAAGGAAGAAGGGTTTATTTTGGCTTAAGGTTTAATTAAATCTATGGTTGGCTGGCACCAAGGCAGAAACATCATTGTGGGGAGAGTGGCAGAGAAAAGCTGCTCATTTCATGTGGCCAGAAGCAGAGTAACCAAGGAAGGACCAAAGAGGAAAGGACCAGCAACCAGATATATGTAGTCCCCAAGGTCACATTTCCATGCCCCACCCACACATCCAGAAATGTGCATTACTAATCTCCTAGGCTGCTCTCAAGCCAATCAAGCTGACAATCAAGATTAACCATTACATTTCCCCTTCAACAAAGATCTTGCTTAGTCCAGTGAGAAACGGCAGATTTCAAGGGTGGTCAGAGGAAGCAGCTATGTGTGTTCCCTTCCATATATGAAACAGTGAGGGGCAAGAGATACGTCTAAGCATCTTGTGGATTCTACCATCTCTATCTGATGAATACTATCCTAAACAGCGCATAACTCTGACCATGGGATTTTACTAAATAAGTAAAAAAATGTACTCATTACCAAACAACCAAGGTGTGGGTAGATTGATGATTTTTGTAAGGAAGCAGATCCCTGTATCCTTGCCAATGCTATAAAATGTGTATTAATTGCTGTCCTGCATAGGACTATAGCAAGGTACTGGTCTCGGTCTCCTTTGGTGGAACTTTTCTGTGCCTTACTTCAGCTGATGATGTTTGCAAGTTTCAGAATAGCACTGGCTGTGACTTAAAGAAAGAGACCACTGAGGGACTAATAAGAAGTAAGAATTCTTTCATTTTTTCTCTGCCTAGTACCATTCTTAAATTCTGGCTGATAATCCTACCTATATAAGAAATGGTTTTGGCATCTGTTTGACACTAATACTAGCCTTGTACTTTTCTGTACATATGCTTTACCTTTCTATCATCCACTATGTTTAGGGTTTTTTTCTGTCAGCAGCAACCTAATCATTCCTTATTTTAAAAAATAATACCTTCCTCCATGCCCAGAGAATATGATACTGATAGACTTGACCAGCTCTAACGCCAAGGTCCAATTCTTGACTCAGGGATATTCCAGTCAATGCATTTCTCCCATCTCCTTATACTAACTGGATTGAACTTAGACCTGGAATAAATGTAGAATAATGAAATCATACCCATTTCTATCAGAAAAATTAGGGGAAAAAGTTCTTTTGGTGTTGCTGCTGTTGAAAGATTATGGTCTATCTGGGCTCCTGACAACCATCTTGTCCCCTTCAGGGAAGCCAGTAGGTGATAGTGAAGCTCAGATAAAGGACTGAAGATCCAACAGAGAAATGGCACTCTTGATGACATTATTTAAACTTTGAAATCCAGTAGTTTGCCTTTGGTCTTCTCACTTAAAGAAGCTAATTGTTTTAGTGTGAATTTACCCAGAAGTGGTACCCACAAAAACACTTATACTACAATACTCAGACACTGATGCCAGAAAATACTAACCTGAGAGTAGGAAAGTAAGAGACTGAAAAGAAAAAGTCAATAAAATGTACATTATCAAACAAGATGTAACTGGAACTTAATCTTAGTAGGGAATTGGGGGATCATGTGTAGAATATGCCTAATTTTTTTCATTTGAGAGATGAAGGGGGAGTTATCCATTAATTCCTGTCACTGATTGATGAATGCTGTCAGCTGTTAATTGTTAAGTACTTCCATTCTCCCTTACCCAAGGACAGAAAGAGCTAAGAGTCAGCAATTAGACCAGTAAAAATGGAAATGTTAAGCCAAGGAGACATCTGCAGAGAGTGGACAGTTTCCTTAACTCTGTTTGAGCTGGGTTTCTACCACTAAGACTGAAGAGCTCTGACCATATACCAGCTAGATATAAGTCTCCTATGGTGAAGGATTCTGCTTCGGTGCTGCTTGATTCAAATCCTCACATATAAGGCACACAGTTAATGCTCCATGGATGGTCTTTATAAGTATACTTTAACCATTGAGCATTGATTCCAGTAGTTATTTCTTTAAGAAGCTAAAACAACAACAGAATCCCACACAGAGTTACAGTTAAACAGAAATATGAACTATTTTCCCCCTAAATCCTTGAAATTTATGGGAAAGAGCAAAATATTCATTCAAAAAACTTGTAATAAAAATTTGTTCATAAAAAATCTTCACAAATTTGTCATGAGATCATTACACTATTCAAACTGGTACTCCAGTTAAAACTAAAACCACATTGGTTGCCGTTCTAAAACCATTTAAGGAATATTTATCTACAGAAGAATGGATTATGTTTTGTTTAAACACTGGGAAAAAATACCAGAAGGATCTTTTTAAATACATATTTTATTTTTAATTGACACATAGCCATTTTAGATATGTATAGGATATGGTGCGACATTTTAATACAATGTATAGGGTTCAGAATATGGTAATGGCATGCCATCATCTCAGACACGTATCATTTCTTTGTGTTGGGATTATTCAAACTTCTCTCTATTAGCTGTTCTGGAACATTCAGTTAATTGTTGTCAACCATAGTTATCCTAGTGTGTTATCGAGCACTGAACCTTGATCCCCTTATCCATATGGACCCTTGTACCTATTATCCATCCTCTCCTTGCTCTCTGTCTCCCATATCATTCCTGGCTCTCATAGCCACCATTTTACCCCACACTTCTTTGGGTTTAACTTTTAATTGCCACATATAAATGAGAACAAGTTTTTGTGTTCCTACGCCTGATTTTTTCCAGTAGAATGACCTCCAGTTCCATCCACATTGCAGCAAAAGATAAAATTCCATTCTTTTTGTGATTTAGTTGTATTCATTATTTCACATTTTCTTTAACCATTCAGCCATACCTAAGTTGATTTCATATTTCGTATATTGACTGTTGTTTGAACAATGCTGTAATAAACATTCAAGAGCAGATATCTCCTAGACATGCCAATTTCAATTCCTTTGAGACATAGAAATAGATATAGATATAGATTAGCAGGACTGCTGAATCATATGATTTTTAAGAACCTCCATACTGTTTTCTGTAGTGGTTGTACTAACATACATTCCTAACAACAGTGTATGAGAATTCCAAAGGATACATTTTTTTTTTTGGGTACCAGGGATTGAACTCAGGACCTTCTGCTTGCGAGGCAGGTGGCAGAACCACTAAGCTAAATCCCCAGCCCCAAAGGATACTTTTTAATACAAGACAATACATGGGAATGTTTAGGACCAATATCAGTGGACACAGTACGCAAAATTTAAACATGAGAATACATTATCTCCTGAATTATTCCCAAGTAAACACAGACTCCCAGTAAATCATAGTTATTCTTCTGTGTACCCTTCTCTATTGGCTCAAAAGTTGTCGAGGTCTGCCTACTTTTGACTAGCCTTTCCTGGTGGGCCTCTTACCACAGAGGTCAGCTGGTGACTGAGTTATGTACTCCTATTTTTAAATGTTAGAGTGATCCAATAGGACATATAGCAGTGGAGATTTCAGCAAAATAAATACTCAATATAGATGTTGCCTCTGCTATACTATTAAGTAAACCTGGCACGTGTACTGTTCCCATATTTAGCGGGGCCTAGTCTCAAGGAAGGCTCAATGTCACAGATGACTATTTCCTCCAGAAACACAGTTGAAGACCCTACAGTTAGAACTCTTCCCTGTGAGAAACTGAGAACAATGGGCTACTAGATGACTCTGAACCAGAGACTAGCCCGGGTGTGGTTCTCAGCCACCTGCCCCACAGCCAATGGCAGAGAGCACTTCCTTTTATAAATATTCTTGTGACTTGTTTTCATATCCAATCACTCAGCTTTTTATAATGTTAGTCCTGGCTAGAAAGGCAATTTTTAAAAGCCCATTAATTTATTTCTGGTTTTTAGTATTTGAAATCAAGAACAATGATGTATAAATACATTGATTTATCAATTTATTATCTTTCTCAACTAAAAAAAAAAGGTCAGTGGAGGTGGGAATTGCTTTAAACATAGGTGTGATGATTAGTTTACACATGGCCCTGAAAGTCTTATTAACCAAAATGTTGTTGTTCTGACTGTAGGACTCAACCCAGTCACTCGACATTATTTCCATGAGAAAATGTGACAAGAAGGCCCAGCGTTGGATCACATAGGGCTTCCATGTACTAGGAGCTCTGAGATCCATCTTCGTGGTTCAGGAAGCTGAGAAATTGGAGGCCTTTGAGAAAGCAAGAACAAGGGTCATGTTCAGGTGAATCACAGAAATTAAGTAAAGGGGTGATACTTGAATAGGGAACAAGAGCTGAAGAAATTTGGGGGCCCAGTCATGCAATTATTTTGATGTTCATACATGCTCCCCAATCTTCCCCTTTTCTTTTATTCTATAGCTATCACTTCTTAGGTGTTGGCAGAAAGTCTTGTTGATACCCACAACATAGACACTTTAAGAAAAGAAGGAAGAAAGGAAATGCTTCAGGCAAATGCTAAATGGACTTTTTTGTACCCCTCACATTTAAAAATAATAGAGGCGGACAAAAATTGGTAAAACCACACTTTAGAAAACTGGCCCTATCTACTTACGATGAAAATACATATTCCTTTTGACCTCACAGTTTCATTCCAACAGAAATGGATGCATATATTCACCAAAAGAATGCACTAGAATATTCATATAAGCAATATTTATAAGAAATATTAAAAATTGCCCAAATGACCATAAAGAGTAGAATGGATATATGAACTGTGGTAGTCATATGATGGTCTATTCTACAGCAACAAGAATAAGCAACATGCAACAATATGATGAATCTTACAACGGTGATTTTGACCAGGAAAGGTTACATATGATTTGTTTCCATTTACTTAACATACCAAAGCAGGTAAGTTTAATGGATATTAGTAGTAAGTGGGATAGTGTTTTCCCTTGGAGGTTGTGATGACTGGGAATCCAAGATGGCCTCCTGACTCAAAGTATTGTTTCATGGTCCAGGTACTAGTTACGCAAGTGACTGTTTGTTCTCCACACTGTAGACTTCTGATATATGCATTTTTCTGAATGTATATCATACTTCAGTAAGTTTGCATGAGTCATGTTTTGTCTTTACAGCCAACAAAGAAAAGCTACTGCTTTACACAGCTAGTTATTACAACACATCTGCGGGAAAACAAACCTCCTCTTCCCTCTGAGTAATTAGATCTGGTCTCATCATCTCTTAAGTCTCCCTAATTTCAAGCTAATCATTCAGAGAAACACTCAGAGTCAGTTCCTGTCTGAGTCATGCCCACAGCTCCCCTTTCCTCCCTAGTGTGGCTTGTCTTCACTGTTACTCCCCTACCACCCATGTGTGGATATCTTGCCCCAGGGTATGGCAGATACCTGTCAGCTCAAGTGCACATGAATCAGCCAGCACATGTGGTTCCACCTCCACTGAGAGCCTTCACAGTTAATGCTGACAGTGTCTCGTACAGTCTCACAGCCACTGCCTGAATCAGCTGTGTTTGGGTCTGGCAAGCATCCGAGGGATGAGCTGTCTGACAGCTCTCACAGGTCCCAGCAGAAGAGAGCAGAGCTTCACTATTCCTCTCGGTCCTTGAAGCAAACACAATAAAACAAAATGATTACAAATTTGGTGTCCAGTCACATGTTGCCCACAACTCAGCCCTCAGCATTTACAAATGTGCTGATCTATTATCAGATACTAATCTGGTTCTTCTCTACATAAAGAAGAATATCACAATTAATTCACTGAGCTCGCATGAGAACTGCCCAAATCAAAAAGCTTTTTGTGTCTGTTTAGGCTCTACAATACCCTATTTGATAAACTAGCTGTGCTAAGCAGTGGCTATATAACTGAATTTAGACTTGTGGGACCATGGTTTGGCTTATGATGAATATGAAATAGGATAGCACTTAATTCCTAGAGAGTTTTGAGCCCTTCCCCCAATTCAACAGGTTTTGTTTTCTAGGAAAAAAATATAAAAAGCCAAAAGAGCACACACCATCTACAATTATACACCCTTGTTGTTTATGGCATCTGTGAAAAATGTGAAGAACCAGGCATGTATCTCAGCTGGAAGACAGACTGCTCAGCATTTAACAATAATTAAATGTGAACACAACAGTAATTTGATGCAAATAGAAGTTGGTCTATAAATGTGTCCACTGGGTCCCCATTTCTGTTCTTTCTCCAGAAGAAATTACATGGGCATCAGACCCTGTAATGGACAGTGGAGAGGAGTGGGTAACCAAAGATTAGAATGTGGGGAAAACTTGCATTTCTTCTATCTAACCTTAATTTTAATTATATTATATAAAGGCTAATTGACACCAGGAATTTTATTTCAACAAACAGTTAATTATGTGCATAATAAACTACCCATTCCTATATACAGAGACTGAGACTATAAAAATGGGGAACTTGGTGTAGATATCCATTATTGCTCACACAAGGAGTTGGCAATAGTAAACAGACTCAAGATGGCCAAGTCTATGTCCAAACAGATCAGGCCCAGTATTCTTCATCCTGTCATTGTACTCCCGTGGATGTGAAGCCTTTTGGAAGCATAATTATAATTTAAATACATCCAGAGAAGCTAGTGCTTTAGTTTTCTACCAGAAGCAAGGTTCTGTAGAAATAGAACATAAAAGAGGTTTCTTTGAGGATTGGGCACAGTGCTGCAGAGGGTGCTACTGACAAATATTCTTTCTGTGCATTTTCCCACCTACAGATTATATGATAGCACCCACTTATTTCCCAGCTACTTCATCCCTCCCAGAAGTGCTTTTCATCCAGAAGTGATTCATCCCAGAATGAAGGAGATCTACAAAATGGGGGCCTAGTAGAGACATCTGTAGACCAACTCTACCACACTTTGTTCTTGAGGACCAGTTTTTTGTTGTTGTTGCTGTTGTTTTGGTACTGGGGATTGAACTCGGGACCTTGCGCTTGCGAGGCAGGCAGCAGAGCCACTGAGCTAAATCCCCGGCCCGGGATCAGTTTTGATCTTAGAGAGGTCCAGTTCCTCAAAGTCCTACATAATCTTCATCCATTCGCCTCCTCCCTTCACCTTCTAGTTTCATCTCTCCTTCTTGATCACTTCCCTCAAGCCTCCTAAGCTTCTCTGATTTCTAGAATTTTTCTGATCCACTGTAGTGTGAGAGCCTTTGACCTGACAATGTCTCTATGGATCACTCCACTAAATGTGTGTGCACACACGCCACTACATGTATGTGTCTTTATTCAAAGGTCACTTTATTTTTTTTTGTATATCCTTTTCCTGGTACATTTTAGGTGTACAACATAATGACATTCATCATTGGAGATATGCACCTTTACATAGTCTCTCTTGGTTCTTATTTTTTCCCCCTTCCCCTGCCCTCCCTTCAACACCTCTACCCCTCCCTATTTACAAAGACTTTGTTTCCATTTTTTCATTTTCTCACATTAATTCCATTCCCCTCTTTCCTTTCCCCTACCCCTCCTACTTCCCCCTCCCCTTTGCCCCTTTTCTTCTTCTCTCACATTATCTATTATACCTTTTAGTCCTTATTTACACTTTCAGTTTCTCACACCAGAGAAACTATTCGGTATTTACACATGTGTGTCCTATTTATTTCACTTAAGAGTATCGCCTCAATGTGCATCCATTTAGCAATAAATGTCTCTAATTTCTCATTTTTGGTGGCTGAATAGTACTCCATTTTATAAAAAAACACATTTTCTTGATCCAGTCTCCAGTTGATGGGCATTTGGGCTGTTTCCAAGTTTTAGCTATTACAAACTGTGCGGCTATGAACATGGGTGCACATAGATCACTGTGGTAGGATTCTTTTAATTCTTTGGGGAAGATCCCCAGCAGTGGAATAGTGGGGTCAAACGGGACTTCCAGTCCTAGTTCTTTGAGGTATCTCCATACTGATTTCCACAGTGGTTGCACCAGTCTGCACTCCCACCAGCAGTGGAGCAGGGTTCCTCTTTCCCCACAGCCCTGCCAGCATTTGTTATTGGTTGATTTCATGATAGCAGCCATTCTTTCTGGAGTGAGGTGGAATCTCAGCCTTGTTTTCATTTGTATCTCTCAAAAGACCAGTGATGTTGAACATTTTTTCATATGTTTATTTGCCATGTCTACTTCTTTGTGTGAGAAATGTCTGTTCATTTCAGATGTCCATTTTCGGATTGGGTCTTTAAATTTGGGAGGTCTGATCTTTTTAAGTTCTTTATAGATTCAAGATAGTAGACCGTTGTCTGAGGAAGAGCAGGTGAAAATTTTTTCCCAAATTGTGGGTTGTCTCTTCACACTGCTGGTGGTTTCTCTTGCTGTGCAGAAGCTTTTTAGTAAAAAAGAGATCCCACTTGTTGATTGCTTGTGCTAGTTCCTTTTCTAGTGAGGTTTTGTTCATAAAGTCTTTTCCTACCCCAATGTCTTGAAGAGTTCTACCTAACCTCTGTTCCAGCCAGTTCAGTGTTTCTGTTTTAATATTTAGATCTTTAATCCATTTTGATTTTAGTTTAGTGCATGGTGAGAGATATAGGTCTAGTTTTAGTCTTTGGCAAGTTGAAACCCAGTTTCGCCAGCACCATTTATTAAAGAGACTATCTTTCCTCCAGCGAGGGTGTTTGGCTCCTCAAAGGTCACTTTAGTGATGTCTTCCCCTACTATCCAGTTTAAACTCACATGTCATAATTGCTTTCACTTCTTACTATCTTCCTTTCTTGCCTTTTTCTTTCAAGTTATTGCTATCTAGCATCTATAAGTTGTACTTAACCTCTTTTTGAAATTTTCTATCCCCTTTTACTATGTAATACATGAGCACAGAAGTTTTTGTCTCTGCTTTATTCTTGAGATTTATAGTATACTTGGCAAAGAGAAGGCACTGAATCAGTTGAGGAATGAGTGAATGATTTAGTGGGCTGACAGATGGGCTTCAGTCTTATTCCCTAAGGCATGGACTTGCTTTGGCAACTTTCCTTCAACATGAGCACCAAAAACCCAGCCCCAGCCCTGTTCTCTTGAGGCTAAGATCTTGACCCTGAGCCCTCCTAATGTGTTTCTCACTGTTTCCTAACAGACTTTTTCCCTAGTGTTCACAGCCTGAATTTCTGAGTACTTTTGTCCCTAGATATTCCTTCAGTAACATTCATTACCTGGTCTATAGGATCATTCATTATCTGGTCTTCATTTAAACAACAAATAAATTTTGAATGACTTGCATATATGGGGCTATGGGAAAACTCCTAGAAACAAAATGATGAAGATATCAAAGCCTTCAGATACATAGAATTTCTTGTTGCCTCAGTACCATGATTTGTCCTTCCGCTTAGATCTTTTCTTCTTCTGGAACAGCCTTATCTATCTCTAAAGATTAGGGTCTAATTTAAGGATCAGGTTCTTTCCAGGGTGCCACATGCTGCCATAGTTAACAAGCCACATCTGACAGTCTACAATTGGAGGCCAGCCCCATGTAATGTCTGCTGCAGAAATCACAGAAACACCCAAGAACCCTATACTGTTGATTTTGTACCTATTGACTTTCCTTTTTTTTTTATTTTCAGGAATACTGACCACTTGTCTTAAACAAATTCAAAATATCATACTTAGCAAACTCATTCCTTCTTTCCTTTTCTCCTTTAGGACATTCTTCACTTAGCTACTTACCCAGTACCAAACTTGTTCAAACAGCCAAGGGTTTAGATCTTATGAATCTGAAGCTCATCTTTTGGCTTAGAAGAAGAAAATGTGTACTTTCTCAGGCTCCCCTGTTCTGCTTGTAAAAGTTACTGCTCTGATGGTTTTAACACTCATTAGGTATTTTAATTACTGAAAATCATTACTTTCTACAAAGAGTCCCACTTACAGAAATATCATGAAATATGCTCTATTTCATGAGAAATCAAGGGCTGCTCTGAAAAATAAAAATTAATCCAATGCAAAGGTCATGGAACAGCCCACCAGATAGTTCTTCCATATCTGGTTGTTGCTAAGGCTGTTAACATCCGGAGTTCACAAGTCTTCTACAACCAATCACATTAGTCATATATTATTGATATAAGAGCTTCTCAGATAAAGTGAAATCATCAAGCTCTCTATGGATCTTCCTTTTCTTTTGTTGCTAATATCTTCATAGAGAGTTAAAATGCTCGCTGCTCTCATTCATCTATAGTTGCTTCTTAATATCTTGCAATTTGAATTCTATAGTCAGCAAATAACTATGCTTTCCAAAGTCACCAATAAATATTTAAATACAAAAGCACTATGCTACTTCATGATGCTTCTTCAGCATTAGACACTATTAATTTCTGCTTTGTGAAAAGTTCCTTTCTAGGTGTCTGTTGCTTCATTCTGTGTTTTTCCTAACAGTTTCCTCTTTATTCTCTCCATTCTCTCTTAAGTAGAGATATTTCTCAAGAGTCAGTCTTTAGTCTCCTTGTCTCTGGTATGCTCTACCTTAGTGATTTCTTTGAAAACTGCAACTGCCACTGCTAAAGAAAATCATTCTTTATCTCCAGCATGTACATTTCTCCTGAGCTGTGAACTCATATCCCAATTACTTGCTATTCCTCATTATGCAAATATCAAAGCTTGTTC